TGTTTCACTGGGGAAAATTTTCCTTGCAGCAACGCTATGCACATTAGCAAGCTAATGTTCTATTTTGTGTAAGCTCCGCCCTCTAAGGCTATCACCGATGGGCATCCCTCCGCGCCTTGCGTGCATTCTGAATAAACCAGTAGTCTATGCCCCCGTACCATGGGGCCCCTCCTCCGGGACGCATATAAGCCGGCCGGCCTGGAGCTCGCCTCCCTCCCTCTTTTTCTTCAGCTGCTGAGCTATTAACTATGCTTTGAACTTCGACCATGCCCAGCTAGACAAAGATTTGCCCCGCCTGCGGCACCGGACACGTGCTGACCTCTGACCTGCATGTGGTGTGTGAAGGTTGCCTCGGCACCGAACACGCCAACCAGGGCTTGGCGACGGATTTCGCCTGCCGAGCTTGCAGAAGATTGCCGCTAGAAGAAAGACAACGGCGGGCTGAGTTGTTCGCTGAGATGGATGAAGACATCGACGCTTTCGCGTCTGTGGCAGTCGACGATCTCATCTCCTTTGAACCGAAGTCGGAGGACTCCGCTTCAGAGGCCGAAGACGACAGCGGTGACCAGACCCACCCCTCCCAGGCGACTGCAGTCAGGAAGAGCCCAGTAACAATGCGTAACCAACGTTAATGTTGGAGCAGCTTCTGAATAACTGGTGGCAGGTGGCAATTCCGCTGCTGCTTAAATTGAATGACATAAAAAAACTTGTTTTTGCCATAGCTGAATGTTGTATACACCTCTTCAGTGACAAGATGTACAAAAAAATTGTGTACAAAGACAACCAGGGAACAATTGCTTTAGCTAAAAACCCCATAAGCAGAAAGATGTAAACATGTGGATGTTAAATATAATTTTGTAAGATTCATTGTGAATGCAGGGAAAATGTGTCTGTTTTACTGAACTACTGAAGAAAATCTACAATAACAATAAACATTGTCATTGTTATGAACACTAAGCTACGTGCCACGGACACACTTATTCTTGTATTTGACCCAGTCGCTTCGTGGGAGCATCCTGGTCTCATGATTGCTCAAATGTTTTAATTTAGCTAGTTGCAGCACCATAAAACACAGGTAAGAAGCAGGAAGTAGTTTAGGAAGGAGGCCTGAATAAAACACATCTGCAGAGCCTCGTGATGTCTACTTCAGTTGAAGACAATGAGTTGGACTCTAGAACCAGAGTTTGTGGGGTGGGGGGTGGGGGTGGGGTCAAACCCAGAATGCAGACAGAAGGATCTCACTGGTTTTATTACAAAACTAAATCTAACAATGCATAAGGAAAAGACCAAGACACAAAGACAGTAGGGCCACTTTGTTGAACGTTACAAATCCCTGAGAAGAAGACAACCAAGAACAGGTGAGTGTGGGCGGGGCCAGAGCAGAATACAGAGACACACGATCTTTTCATGAAACAAACAAAACAGCCAAAAACTCACAGATCCTAAGAACCAGAGGGCATTCGGTATTTTCAGATCACAAATACTGATGGAGAAAATCAGTATTTTCAACAAAAATAAAATTTCCATGTAACATGCACAATAAGTCTTGCTAAAGTTTGTTGAAAAAGCTGAAATTTAATAAAGTTAAAACAATCATGACATAAACTAACATTAGCAAAACAAAAAAAATTGAATATAGATTATCTAAAGGAAATTGTAGCTAAAAGTTACCATCTCCAAATTTGTAGTCAAATGGTAAAACTAGCTGAAGAGTGGCTAAAATTAGCAAAACTGTAGCTACAAGATAATGTTTGAAGTATAGTAGCTAAAAAAGTAAAACCAGCATAACAATAGCTTTTGGTAAAAATTTCTGATGAATTTCTATCAAAAAAATAAAATGAAGAAAAGGCAAATAATTTTAACCCTATAAAACTTGCCGTGATGTCCTGAATGAGCCAAACATTTGGATTCCTGAAGGATAAAAACAGCTGAAAGTCTGCAGAAAAGGTTTTGCTAAAACAGTAAAATGAGAGTGAATGCTGACTCAGTAAAAAACTACAACCCCCACTTTAGACCATGAAGTGTGAGAAACATCAACCCCAAGATTCTTAGTCATCTACGTCACGATCAATCCAAAAAACGGTAAAAACAAAACAAAAAATCCTCCACTTAAAACTGAAGATGTTTTGCTTCCCATCAATTAAAGCCACCAACATGGAAAGTTAAACATTTTCAGCTTCACAATAAAAGTCTGGTTAGGCTTTTTGTTTTTTTATAGCCTTTTTCTTTCTTTCCTTCCCTTTTTTTTTTTTTTTTTTGGATCAGCCACAAAACCATTTGGCCCAAACCTCTCAGAGGAAATGAAATGTTTTAACTCTTTCATTTCCCCTGAGTTCATCCATCTGTCAACTGCAGCCTTTAAATAAAGATCTATGAGTGAAAACACTCCTTCAATCATGCTGAACAGTGAGTCAGGGGAGGAGTTTCAGAGTTGTGAAAGACAACATTAGACTGACACCACATCACATTCAGGCTAAGTATTTATAGCCCATGAGACAAGCAAACTAAGCAGTGGTGTCAGGGAGACGAGCTGAAAGATTCTTGGTATCGATTGAGAGCAGAGCGTGGCTCAGCAGCCTCACTGCTCTTATCAACATGACAAGGACAGCTCCTCACATTCCAATTTCTTTTCCAAATATTAACTCATTAATCATAGCTGCTGTCCAAGATGGATTTTAATTTTGCACTGAACATGTCTGCCTCCAACCCTCAACCTGACACCCAAACACAACAAGATTGGATTCTTTGTCCTTGCCTTGCCTCTGTCTCTCCCACCATGTTGTCTCTCATCAGCTGACTGCTGGATAAGAGTGAGTCAAAGAGATGTGAGCGCTCAAATCAAACAGCAGTTAGATCAGACAGGTTGTTGACTCAAGCTGAGCAAAAACCACAAAGTGGCTGGATTTTGAATCCAGGGAGAATGAGACAAGATGTTTACACATATTCATTGAGTTTTTGTAGGTTTTGTTGTTCATTATTGCTGACAGGTAAAGGAGTGGTTGTGTTTTTGTGCCTGTCTCTTTGTGAATATGTCTGTTAGCAAAATATCCGATCAACCCCTGGACAGATTTCAATGAAACTTTCAGAAAACATTTATTGGCCATATACTGTAAGCACAGCTAATCCACTTTAGCCAAACAAAAGTTCAACAGTTATTGAGTTAAAATTTATTTTATTTACAACACATCTGATCATCTGCAGACATAACCTTTTTAATCAAACAAAAACTACAACTCAGACGCTTCTCAGTTTTGACGTCAGGCTAAACCTCTGCAGGAGAGAGGTAGCAGCGGGTGATATGCATTCTCTGAAATGAAGAAGCACTTTCAGCTGAATCCAAAGCCTTTGAATGAGGTGATAAATGTTCTGCTCTCCTGTAAGACAAGTGCACACACTCATCTAAATGCAAATGTCCAAATCCATATAGCCAAATTTTCTCCTCTTTGTTTTTCTCCCTCCCAGCTCCCACTCGGTCATGCTTGCACTGATTTGTCGTTGTAAAGAAGCGGCGTATTTAGGAGGAAGGCAATAATGAGTGGTACTTCCAATCTGCCCACAGAAGCAGCCAAATTAAACCGTTCAATATGCATCTTTTCTTCCCTTCATCCTTCATTCTCACTAATCGCTGCGACTCTCAGAAGACTCTCAGCAGCTTCCTGTCTTACATGATGAAATGGGAGCTTCCAGCAACACTTTTAATTTTCCACATGTTGCGTCAGTGTGGTAGCAGTGATAGTGTTCCCCCAGCTTATCACCTGTTACTGTGGGGACACCACAGAGCGACTCTCAGAGGAAACATGGAGTCTCTGAAACTTCTTTAGGACTTACATGCCTAGCATGCCTTGGAGAAAGGGCCCTCGGAGATCAGAATCGCTGACTTACATCTGATTACAAGGTTAAATGGGATTTGTGAGAAATACACACACTTCTTTAAAAAGTTATTTTTTGTCTGATTTTTATAACTTCCTCATATAAAAACTGTTTGCAGCTGTGATTGTAATATCTAATGCCGATCTTGGTTGTTCAACATTTAACATCAGTTTATTGACCCTTTGTGTAGGAGCCATGACGGGCATCGGAAGTGAGGGGGAATATTGAACGGAGCAACTGCAATTGTTTGCCTGAGTTGTTTTTGCCTGTATAAACATAGAGGTTTTAGGTAGAGGGTTTAAATACTGTATTTGGGGTCCATCATTTTCATCTACTCAGAAAGTTCAGAACAAGAACAGATTTGATGTTTTCCCGATGTTAGTCAGCACCACATCCTGGCACATTTTACAGCAGACTGAAAGCAGAAGGTTTTGGACCTTCAAAACCCAAACTATGCCTGTGCCACTGAATTTAGTCTTTTCCATTCATATCAACCAATTTTGTCTGCTTCTTTTTCAGCTGTGGATGCTTGTTCACTCAGCTGTTAAGCTCATTTCGGTGCTGCATTGTAGGTAGCATAGTATAAACAGAACAGTAATGCTGAGCAGTGGTGTGAAGTCCATCCATCTAACTTCTTTAAAGTCATATCACCACTATCAAAACATTTTCTACCAAGACCTATATCATTATTGAATTATCATTGTCCAGCACTAATATGAAGTGCATTAACATTAATCCTCTTACATGTAAAAAGTGTTCACTGCTGATCTGTGAATACACTGAGAGCTGCCAATTTTTATAGTTGATGGTTGCGATCTATCAAAGTCTTCGGTCCTCAACCAGAGGTATGCAATAAAATAACAAGTTTGGTTTGTTTCCTTGTCTGATTGTGCAGCTGACTGTGCTTCACCCTTTGACCATTTTTACAGATAAATCAACTAAATAAGAGTGATATTAGGCTACCATGTGCCTGTTTTTTACTAGCTGTACAGGAGTATACACGTGCATAGTTGTTTTGATGTCCGTCATGGCAGAGTGGGCTACTTTCTGAATAGCATGCATCACATGCAAAGGGTCAATAAAGAGTCCAATCAGTGCTTGTAGTCTGACAAAGAGTGAACGGGTTTTACCTTTCGCTCTCATCCCAGGAAATACACGTCTGGTTGGTGGTTCCCTGAGAGATAAAGAACAGAGAAAATCAGGCGCAAACAGTAGAAAGAATGTTAAGTCATTATATCAAGTTCATTTTTGGACAAACCAAAGTTATTACTGACATTGTACATGTGAGCAAACTCCACCACAACAGAACTGGAGAGAGAGACAGGAGTGGGCTTGATGGCCACAGACAGAACCTTCGAGTTTAGGACCGTGTTGTTTCTACAAGACAACAAAAACAATTAGAAATTAAATTATGACAATATGGCTTCCCTACAGGCAGAATTTTTTACACTTGAATACATTTTTAAAATTTCTTCTCAAAACTTACCTACCCACCTACCTACCTACCTACCTACCTACCTACCTACCTACCTACCTACCTACCTACCTAC